CAATGGTAGGAATCAAAAACAAATTCCGAAATAAACTTCAATTGTCAAATTCCTTACGCCTGAAACTAACCCACAATGATGTTGATGTCTAGGCAATTCTTGACAGTAACAAGAAACAGCACATCCTTCACACACGCCTCATTATTAATCAATTAGATAGCATTTATAAGTTCTGGAAATGTTATTGAAAATACGTGAGTATTTTTAAGTGTAATTGAAATACGTGAATATGAATAAATAATATTTTTTGTATTCTTTCATATGTTTTTGCCCAGTAAATTTGAGTGGGTCGCCATAAGCTGTGGTCATGAATAGTGGGTCGCGATTCTAAAAAGTTTGGGAGCCCCTGGTGTACATTATATGATAATCACTTGATTATTTTATAGCTAGGACAGTTGGTTGATTGAAGCGCCAACAACTGGAAGAGCATTGTGAATCTTACGTTCCTTGCTATTGGGCGATATTTTGTACCGAGGTGTTATTTTAACTTAACTTTTTAAATGTTGTCACAGTAAAACTGAATTTGCTGTAATTCCTTATATGCTTACTGCATTACATTGTGTGTATATGTATTATATGCGTGTATTTTGTGTTTGACGACACAAAATGTTTTCTATATGGATGTTTACAGCAGAACATTCTATCTTTGCTTGTTTTTACCTGTGGTCACTTTAATTTCGTAACATTTGGCAATAAAATAAAATTTGGCAATACAAAATGTGAAAATAAGTAATGCTAGTAAACATACTAGCGAATCTACCCTTAATGCACGTATTTTGACTGACTAGTAAAAAAAAGAATGGGACATTTATTAGATGAAAACCAGAAGTCCACTGCTTCACTCTTCTCCAGGAACTGGAGGGAAGATAAACACACAAGTAAATAGCGTTATTACTTTATTTGTATTGACCATGACCATACCTAATTTATAAACGATTCAAAATATCTGTACATATATATTATTATTAGATTTTGAAACGAGCTTCCCAGTAAATGGAATCACTTTTAATGATGGAAATTATACAACAGAACTATGTGGCATGTTTATTAATGGATCAACCATTTTTATCAATTAAATTTTTCACTTTATCTTTAAGAATCACTCATGTGTGTGTATGTGCAGGTCCCCTTATGGCTATGGTCCCTAGAACTTGCCTTAAGTCCAGCTCTAGCTGTGGTTGAAGTTTTATGTGTTACCCTTTTAGTGTATTTGTGTACATGTTGTGACGTGGTGATGTGTATCACCTGATAAAAATTATTACAACATTTTGCGACCTGCAATTAATTGTGTGTTAAATTTTTTGCCAGGAGCGCTACTTTCAAATTTCAGGGTTAGTACACCCCCTGAGTTAAAAATTGTGATATCTGGAACAATTATTCATTTCACCTGAATACTACAGAAGTACAATACACGATCGAAAGAGTTCAAAATGTTTTATTAATACTTGGTAGTTACGGCATTTGACTCGCAAACTTTGGGTTGCGAGTTGGAATCCCAATAACCAAACATGCTGGCACTTTCAGTCGTGAAGGCGTTATAATGTAACAATCAACCCCACTATTCGTTAGTAAAAAGAACAGTCCAAGAGTTGGCAGTGGGTGGTGTTGACTAGTTGCCTCCTTTTAGTATGTCACTGGTAAATTAGAGACGGCTAGCGCAGAATGCTCTCGAGTAGTTTTGCGCGAAATTAAAAAAAACCCAACTCAACTGAAGCTAATAAAATTTGCCCTGAAAGGGGTCGGAGCAAGTGCGGTTTACTCCGACCCTCTTGTAGTATTAACAATCCACATTCATGGACGACCTACCATAGTTCGGAAGGGAGGAAGAGGTCTCAAAGTACCTGACCCTTTTAGGTCACAAAGACCTAAATTCCTATTAGGAGAGAGAGAGCTAATAAAATATTTTCCCCATTCATACACACTGTGGCTTAACGCTTGCTCATTATTATTGAAGAAGTAGAAAAAATAAAAATAAAAATTGAAACAAGTTAGAAGTGTCAAATTAAAAGCAGCCAGTAAGTGTTGATTTGTGGGTTGAAAAGTTTGTTTGTTTGTTATAAATTTCGCGCAAAGCTACACGAGAGCTATCTGCGCTAGCCGTCCCTAAATTACCAGTGTAAGACTAGAAGAAAGGCAGCTAGATATCACCACCCACCGCCAACTCCTGGGCTACTCTTTTACCAACGAATAGTG